CCACATGGCTTTGGAGCTGCTGGGGCCTCCGGAGGAGTTTGGGGGTGGGAGGGGGCAGGGGCTGGCTGTCAGGGTGGATGCTGCACTGCACAGCCGGTTTGAGGGGACAGCCAACCAACAGCAGGACGGGGGACCACAAGGCAGCCTACTGGCCCCTCCTTCTTGTGCTCAGACCCCATTAGGGGAGCCGACGACAGATGTCTGGGCGCTCCGCCCGCCCTGCACACCAGCCAGCCCGCTCAGCCTTGCCCGTTAGACAGGGAACTGCCCCGCCAAGAGCCCCCCCATCCCCACCCGCGAGAAGCGCAGGAAACCTCAAATGAGGTGCAAAAAAAATCGTAAAGGTTAAGAGAATTTTTCCATAACTCCGCTTCATAACTCAGCATTTCTGATGGGGGTGATTTATGACCTGAGGGAGCTCTTGGGGTGGGGAAGCAGGGTGGGGGGCACTGTGTGGCCTGGAATGGCAGCTGTGACGTGGCTAAGCCAACACTCGTAGGTTCTGATTCTGAGCTTAGTCCCAAACAACCTGGAAACCCGCTCCAGGGTGCCGGTGGGGTAGAGATCTCAAATCCAGGCACAGAATCTGCCCTGAGGCCACTGTGGGCAGGGACGCCACCTAGGGCTGGGTCATTGCCCAGCTGGCAGGTGCCCTGCCCCTCTCTCCAGGCGACACCCAGCAGAGGCCAGCCTGTGGGCTGCCTGGACACTTCACATTTACTATGATCTCCACTTACTCTACACTTACTCTACACATGCTGACTGACCTCCTGGGGGCTGGCTTCTGGGACCACAATGTCAGTGCAGCCTCATGTCTTATCCCGAGAGGCCCCTAGCTGACCCAAGCTGTACTGAGCCCAAGTAGGGGCCCAGCTCCCAGATGCATGGGCACAGTGGGCCTGGCATCCCCTTCTTGGACATGGTTGGAGGGGGTGTGGGTGTCGGTTCCTCAGCCTGGAGGCAAGAGGGCATGGTGGTGGTGTGTGGCTGCCCATGGTCTGGGACGGCGAGGAAGGTGTGTCCATCAGCATCTCTGTCCCCTAGTGTCCCTGTGGCCAAGTCAGCCTCCCAGCCATCTGAGTCCCCTAGGTGGTCTGGGGTCCGAGAATTGGGGAGCAGATGGCCTGGCTCTGTCCCTGTGGGCTGGAAGTCCCACTGCTCAGGAAGTCCCACTGCTCCTTTCCAAGCCCAGGGGGTGCAGACCCACCGGTCCTTGTCCTGACCCTGAGAGAATGCAGGTTTGGGACGTGGGCAGCTGGCCTGGGCACCCAGCCTTGCTTCAGGGCGACCACGATGAGTCAGGGTGCCACTCCCTCTTCTGAGAAAGGAAGCCAGCACCTCTGAAGTGGATTGGAAGCATCCCGCAGGGCTCCTGCAGGTGGAAAGCCTCCTCCCTCCTGGCGTGCGGGATATAGGGTCAGTCCCTGAAGGCCTCTGTGTAGCTTGTAGTGAGAGTAGGGAGGATGTGTGTTTGGGAGTCAGCAGGACACAGGGAGACCCTTCTGCCAGAAGCCTGGGACAGCCTCTCTGGAGTCAGAAGTGGCACCAAAGGAGAAGCAGCCAGCAACCAGGACTGCAGTGTCCCAAGGACCATCCAGCAGCACAACCCGGGGCCGGTGCCTCTGGAAGTATCCCTGGGCAGGGAGGCCAAGTTCATGACAGTGAGACCACAGTTCCATGGTTCTGCCTGTCCTTGTGGGCTTCCCTTCCACAGACCAGGTATGGCCAGGCGGCCGTCCATATGGACACAGGCAAGGCTTGGCCACCCAAGTGTGACAGTGGCAAACAAGGCTTGCAAGGTGTCCCAGCCGAGTTGGGGCTGCAGCCACCTTGTGTCTCCCATGGTCCCCGCTGAGTCCTCCAACGAGGAGAGTGACTTTTGTCTCTTTGGAAGGAAGGGGTTCATCAAACCTCCTACCGCCCCACCCCCAAGATCAGCCCAAGTCACCCATATAGGGAAACGGGATTCCCCAGACTTTGGGGGACCACTTTTGGTGACCACACGCTGTGGCCATCAGGTGGGTCAGAGCAAGGTTTTCCAACGGCAAGGAAATTAGAAGGCCTGGAAGGAGGGGCTATTGGGCCAGCAAGCAGATGCCCACTTAGGGTTGGGGCGGACTGCCTGGCACTAGGCCAGCACTCTAAGACTATATATTGTGTCTGACTCGGCCTTGCCCTCAGCGAGGGGTTTCCTGGCCCCAGAGGTTCAGATCCCTGTGCACACGGTTAAGAGCTGGTATCAGTGAGCTCGACTGTGGTGGGTGAGCAGTGGGAGTATCCACAGAACAGGCTGTGTTGGCAGGCGGGCAGACACGCTTGATGGTCTTGGTCCCAGGGGCTGCAGAGGCCTGAGGTGCAATTGGATTGGCTGGCCGGGAGTTCTCACTCCCTCCTCTCTGATAAGACAATTCCTCATGGACCTCTCCCCTGTTGCCGCGCTGGCCCTGTCCACCCCAGGAAGCACCCTGGAGACCCAGAAAGGCGCACGGTCTCTCAGGGGTGGTTGGAGCCATCCTGTAGACCAGGGGTGTCACACTGGCAGCCTGCGGGCTGTGTGCGGCCCCCAAGGTAATTTTTTGTGGCCCCAAATGCTCTGAAATAAAAGGAAAATTTTTTTTAATGTTATGAAGAAAATAGCGCTTAGGGGAGATCGAGGCAATACCGTACACACAATTCCCTGTTAACTTTTTAACTACTGAAGACGAGTCTACACATGGCTCAGTGCCTTTCCTGGGGACCTGGGGACGTGTATAAATGCACTGCTTCAGTTCCAGCGACGTTTGGAAGTGTAAACAGATCCCAATAGTGAAAAGGTGAAAAAGAGCACTCTGGGTTGTGCTGTTATGAATCATACCTAGTGGCTGCACTAGTTAACATTTTTAGAGGGAGGCCATTGTGTGAGCAACTATTTTCATCCATGAAATGAAATAAAACAGCATACAGATCAAGATTAACTGATAAACATCTATGTGCCTCAATGAAAATTGTCTGTTTTCAGTCTTTAAGTCCAGATATTGGAAAACAAGTAGGAGGACAGTGCTGGGAAGTTTCAGGTAAAAAAGAATAATTTTAGTTTTATAAATACATAAAATAAATGTTTAAATAAAAGCAATTATATAGTGTTATAATTATCCTATCCATCTTCCTGAATCCTTACTTCAAAATATAAATTCAGCAAAATTTTCAAATGTGATGTAGCCCACGTGAATCTCGCCTGTCACACCAAATGGCCCGCGTTTTAATTGAGTTTGACACCCCTGCTGTAGACTTAGCTCTCCCACTATCCACAGACAGAATGCAGAGTTCTGGACCCCTTTACAGAAGAATGGGCTTCAGGGGCTTTGGGCGGGGGCCCGAACTCTGTATTGGGAATACATATCCCAGGACACTGTGGCCCCCACAGACAGAGACAGGGAACATGGGGTGGGGCCACAGGGAGCATGAGGTGGGGCCAAATGTGTCTGCGGGCATGGGCAGGACACACCAACAGGGACGAAGCACCCACATCTCTGGTCAGATGGGCTCTCACAGGCCTGGGGACAGCCTCCTGTCCTTCCCCAGGTCTTCCTTTTCCGAACAAGGATCCTTCCGGGGTCAGGAGGCCCTGAGGCCCAGTCCTCTCCTCAGACCTTCCCATACATGACCAGCACCATTCTTTTCTTTTTTTTTTAAATCATTTTATTAGGGGTTCATACAACTCTTATCACAATCCATACACACATCAGTTGTGTAAAGCACATTTGTACATTCATTGCCCTCATCATTCTCAAAACATTTTCTCTCCACTTAAACCCCTGGCATTAGGTCCTCATTTTTCCCCTCCCTCCCCGCTCCCCCCTCCCTCATGAGCCCTTGATAGTTTATAAATTGTTATTTTGTCATATCTTGCCCTGTCCGACATCTCCCTTCACCCACTTTTCGGTTGTCTGTCCCCCAGGGAGGAGGTCACATATAGTTCCTTGTAATCGGTTCCCTCTTTCCTACCCACTCTCCCTCTACCCTCCCTGTTTCGCCACTCACACCCCTGGTCCTATAGGGCTCATCCATCCTGGATTCCCTGGATTTTCAGTTCCTATGTGTACCAGTGTACATCCTCTGGTCTAGCCAGACTTGCAAGGTAGAATTCGAGTCATGGTAGTGGGAGCGGGGAGGAAACATTGAGGAACTAGAGGAAGGTTGTATTTTTCATCGTTGTTACATCGCACCCTGACTGGCTTATCTTCTCCCCGAGACCCCTCTGCAAGGAGCACCATTCTTAAATGTGCGGTTCAAAGGCAGTTAGTGCACTGACGTTTAGTGCGTCTATCGGATTCTGGAACGTTCTCATCGCCTCTGAAAGAAAGATTGTGCTGCCCTGTGCCGTTGCTGCTCCCTGTCCTAGGCCGCCACCAACTGCTTTCTGCCCTAATGGACATGCCCCTGTGTCCCTCCTCTGCACATGTCATCTCCATGGTCAGGGGTCCTGGCCAATGGCCGGTTCCCAGGCCCAGTAGTGACAGCCAGTAAGAAAGTCTCTGCCTGTAGGTTCCCGTGTACCCAGGGCAGCATCATCACACTGTGTGGGCGCACGCACACACACACACACACACACACACACACGCACACACACAGACACCCTCATCTCCATGAAGTCTATTCCAATTCATAAGACCCTGTGGGACAGAGTACAGCTGCCCCTGTAAGTGTCTGAGACTGTGAATCGTTCTGACAGCAGAGAGCCTCGTCTTTCTCTCTCAGAACAGCTGGTGGTTTTGAACTGCTGACCTTGCACTATGGCAAGATACAGTGGAACAAGATCGGGCCAAGCAAGAGCGGGCATGTCCTTCCAGGGCAGTGTGCAGTAGGCCAGGTGTTTGCTCGCTGCCCGAGTGTCAGAAATGAAACAACCTGGTCTGTGCCCAGTGAGAGACCGCTGGTGCTTCCGGGCACTGTGGGAGCCGGTGTGGTACGTGGGAAGCTCTGACCCTCTGACTCTCCTCATGCTCTCTCTTCCTGGGCAGCTTCCAGAGGACCTGGGCAGTGAGAAGTTCTGTGTGGACGCTAACCAGTCTGGGGCCAGCAGCTGGCTCAAGTACATCCGCGTGGCCTACTCCTGCGATGACCAGAACCTCACCATGTGCCAGGTCAACGAGCAGGTAGGTCCCTCCTCTGAGCTGAGCCCAATGTGATCAAAAGCACGCCGAGGTGCAGGGCTTTATGAGGAGCTGGCCCTGGGGGAAGTGCTGCCTACCCAGGCACGAGGCAGCTTTGCCTGTCCGAAGAATCCAGCAGCACCCTCTCACCTAGCACTGCCCCCTCCACGCACCTCATTGGGGCCCCATCCCAAGGTCTGGGCTCTGGGCTCTCTCATCAAAAGTTGATGGTGGGTGAGCCCCAGCCACTGGGTCTGCGGGCACATAGTCCCTTCAAACATCGCTGCTGCCAGCAAGCCGTGAGAGCCTCTGGGAACAGGAGCCGCCAAGGAGAGTCCAGGCTGAAACAACAGGTGCTGCCTACCCGTGTGGCCCAGCAGGCGTGCTGCCTGGCTGGCAGAAGGAGCCTTCTAGCTGACCAGCCAGCCAGCCAGCCGGCTGCCCAGGGCCTCCAAGAACCCAGGGCACAGCACAGCCCGCCCACTGAGGGGACTTGTTTCGTCTGGGAGGAAACCAGCTTAGTTCCCGGGCTGTGTGTTGTGATGAGGTCCCCAAGTCGCCCTGGGCACCAGTCATCCTGTTCTGGCCACTGGGGACACAGTGACCCCTTGTCTTGCCGGGTCCTCATGACTGGTGGCTCGTCCTCACCATCAGGCCGGTGGGCATTGGGCAAGTGCTCTGCCCGCTCACTGGGCCAGATGCTGCAGCCTAGCAGCAGAGAAGATGGTGATCCTGTGTGCAAGGGGGCAGCCTGCTCTGGGGCTGGGTGGCATCAAGACAGGGCTGAGGCTGTGCAGTCCCTTCCATTCAGTCCCTTTGACCCAGTAGTCCTCCTCCCTCCGGAGTTACCATATCACCACGTGCTTGCCCAGTGCCAGCTCCCGCAGGGCCTGGAAACCCCTGCCCCCTTCAACCACTGAAGTTTGCTTCTTTGCTAGTTGAGGGGCTCTTGCCCGTGGGACTGCATTTGCCAAAAAAAGGAGCCTATTGCTTGAGAAGGTGGCTTTGGGGTCGTGGTGATGTCCATACAATGTGATGGGTGGGATTAACGTGGCTGGATTGTGCACCTAAAACCGGCTGAGATGGCAAAGGGTGGGGGGCGTCTGCTTCACCCCAATTTAAATAAATTATAGGTATGTAAAGCCAGCCTCCTGGGTGGCCTCAGCCTCCCTGAACCATAGGCCCACCCATGGAGCCCTGGTGCCACAGTGGTTAAAGTACTCAGCTGCCAGATGACATGTAGGCGATTGAGTCCGCCAGCCGTCCCACAGAAGGACGATAAGGCAGCGTGTGTCTGTAAGGATGACCGCATGGAAAACCCTAGGGGGGCGCCGTTCTACTCTCTTACAGGGTCTCGATGTGTTGGAATTGTTTGGAAGGCAATAGGTGTGACAGGGAGGGGTGCGGGGTCCTGGATGAAAGGGGGAGAAGGAGGAAGAGGGGGGATCAAGGCACAGAGAAGGGAAGCCATCTGGCCTGGCTCCAGCCTCTTGCGGCAAGAGATGGTTTTGCAGAAGGAGTGAGCACTCAGGGCCCGGGGGCTCTGCGGGTCCCTTGGAGCTGTGCAGGTGTTGTGTCTGCTCTTTGGCTCAGTCCCGGCCGAGCCGCCCCTCCATCGCCAATGCTGGTCCCGGCGAGGGGCCATCAGCATGAGTTCTCCTCTGCCCCCAGGACAAGGGTGACCTACATCAGCACCCAGAATCCCAGGCCCGGGAGTTCGGGGGCTGCTGCGGGGGCAGCGCATATTTATTTTCTTATTGCAAGGAGTACAGTAAGGCCCCTAGATCAAGAACATCTGACGTCTGGGCAAATTGTATTTGGGAACAGCCTGTCCTGAGTCGGTGGTGGTCCATGTTTGGGTTTCACACAGCGGTTCGGACGAAAGGGAGGCAAAGTGCCCCCTCAGGAGCACCACCAGAGCTTTGAGCAGCTCGAGGAAGGAGCACGCCGGTGCCCTTTGAGGTCGGATCCTGTGGCCCTGGGCCCGGTGGGGGCGTGTCACTGTGTGTGTTGCTGGCTCGTCCCCCACCCCACCCTACCCCCATCACCCCGTTTGCCCGGGTAACCATGCCTCCCGAGCATCTCGAGCTGATGCACCGGCTGCTGGCCCATCAAAGAGACGGGAAACTGCTGGAGGACGAGGTCCAAGACCCACAAACTCCAACACCGAAAAACGGAAAACCGCGTTGGCTGAAGGAGCCGGCCGAAGCCTTTCGCAGGGTCAGGGGAGCAAGATCCTAAGGCAAGGAGACTCGCGCCTCAGCTGCTCCAGGGCCCTGGGTGAGGAGAAAAAGAACGCTGGGTGCAGACCTCCCTGGGGGCGACTTCAAGAAATCGGCACCCGTCGTGAACGGCCCCGTCCAGCGTCAGACGCCCGCCCCACGCCCACTGTCTTCAGAAGCAGCCGCCTCCCCGTCGCTGCCTCCTGCGTCGTCCAGGTGTGAGTGTTGTCCTAGCGCCGCTTCCCGAAGGCCCCTCTCAACATTCAAAGCAGCGATGGACCGAGAGTAAGTTTTCACCTTGCTCATAATTCTGTTCCTCTGTCTTTGTTTCTGCCTGAGCTCTTTTAAGAGCCGTTTCCCTCGCGTCTGGGCAGTGTTTGGTACCTACACACATGCCACACCAATCTCGCCTCCACGCAAGTGGAGATGTGGTTGTTTTCATTCTTCTTCTGATGATTGTGTATTGAGTGGATCCGTTCGAAGGGGTTTTGGTGTCTCTGGACGTGTTTCGTCCGTGGTGTTGTGCCCAAACCCACTGCCAACTCCTAGCCGCCGCCGAGCAACGTACAACTGCCCCCTGTGGTTTCCAAGGCTGGGCAGCCTGATGGCAGCAGACAGCTTCACCTCTCTCCTTAGGTGTGGCTGATGGGTTCAAACCACTGACCTGGAGGTGAGCCGCCCAAGCCAGGGCTCGCTCCCACAGAATGGCTTACAATAGGGTATATTAGGTGTAGATTATATATCCTATATGCATTTTTAAAAAAAAACAAAAAAACCTGCCATGCAGCTGCTCCTGACCCATGGCTGGAGATTCCCGAGGCTAGAAATCTTTCACAAGAGCTTACCCTTCTCTGCTCGGTTCGGCCGGTGGTTCTGGACCCTAAAATATACGCTGTGAGATACAGGAAGGCAGACGCGTGGCTCACGGATGATCACTCAGAACCACGTGTGCCTATTCTGATGGACCTGCGCTTTTGACTGAAAGGCGGCGTTGGGGGAAACAGCTCGTTCATAACCCGGGCACGGCCTCTGAGGCAGAAACAAAGGAACCCTGGTGGCGACATGGTTAAGCGCTCAGCGGCGAGCTGAAAAGCCAGGAGTTCAAACCCGCCAGCGGCTCCGCAGGAGAAAGAACTGGCCGCCGCTCCCAGAAAGACGCCGCAGAACAACAACAAGGCAGAAATAAGCAACATCAACAGCAAACACCGTAAAAATTAAACCCAAATGTAAAAAACAAAAAAAAACCTTGTCCTCCTCCCAGATGAAATGAGATTGTAGTGAAGGAGACTTGGATTAGAAGCACATGGAGAGGGGTCTGTCCTTGGAAGCGAGGGGGGGGCGGGCAGGGGTGTCCCATGTGTCCTTGGTCTGCCAGGCGGGGGCTGGGCGGCGATTCCATGGGCTCCAGATCAGATTAACCAAAGATGCGGATTTTCTTTTTAAAACGACTGTTTCTTAGACCCTGTGTGAACTCAACCTGAGCCGGTAGAGTGGGTATTTTTATGCAGCAAGCGGGTTTTCTAAATTCTGCAGACGTACAAACTGGCTTCTTCCCCAATCCTTAAACAAAAGAAGAAAGCAAACTGAATTCACCGTCAGCGGGTCGATGCCGATGCCCAGCGGCCTCCAGCACAGGGTCGACCTGCCCCAGTGGGTCTCCCAGACCCTGACTCTTCCTGGGGCAGAGAGCCCCGTCCTTTGTCCCATGAGCATCTATGGTTTCAAACTCCCCACCTTGTGCTCAGCACTCCACCAGGGCTCAAAGATCCCCAAAACTCAAAACTCCGTTTCTGCGGCTCAGAGCCTGGGCTCCAGGACAGTGGAGGGGGGAGGGGGTCTGTCACACTGTCTCTGTGTCGGCCCACCTCACCTCCACCTCCCACGTTCCCTCTGCATTGCTCCCTTCAACTTGGTGCCTCGTACGGGAGAAGCCCGGCAGGGAGCGGGGTTGTCAGTCTGTGACCAGCAGTTGAACGAGTTTGCTGTTTGCCGCACACGGGCCTTCCTCAGGTGGCCTATTCCCTTTCACGGCCACTCCTTCCCAAGCTCCATCCTAGCGTTGGAGACATACCTGGCCCTGTCACTTGAATGCCAAGGCCCCACATCACCTGCCGACTGTGGCTCTCTCGAGCCCCATAGAGACATTCAACTGAAGTGCCATGCTCAGGGGAACCGGGGCTGCCGAGATGGCTGAGCACAGAGAGAAGCCAAAGGGGGCATATTCAACACCCCCAGTCTCTTGTCATAAGGCCTTTGTCTCCAAGGGAAGAGAGGAGCCCTCTGCCTGCCACCCCACCCAAGGAGCACCTCCTTTTCCCACCCGCTGCTACAGAGCAGGAGGGTGCCTGCCGGAGACCTCTGCAAAGCTCAACCCCAACACCGTGTGGCAGGAAGCCTTCAGAAGTCCCGTGAAGCAGGCTCCGAGGGTGGGTTTGAGGTGCCCGGCTGATTCGGCCGGGAGAACAAGCTGGGTTTCAAAGTGTCCCCTGGGCATTTCAAACATCCAGGGAGGTCGCCATTCCTAGGGATGTTCTCCTCGGATGAAATTGTGATTTTGAACCTCTGCGATGCGTTTGAAAATCCGCTCTCAGAAGCACATGGCCTCTCAGTAAATGTTTGCTGAGGGAATGAAATGATGTTTTTGAAATATCTTCTTGAGAGGGATGTGCTAGATTTTAAACTTTTTATTCTTTTAAAAAATCTTAAAAATAAAAAAATAAGCCGAGTGGATTTTGAGGCATCAGGAACCCTCCCAGCCGGGGAGTCAGGTCGCTGCCGGGG